GGGAGGGGGGGGGGGGTTCGAGAAAATGTTATCAAATGTTACATCGAATCATTTCACGAATCGATTCTTGGGTATAATATAAAAAAACTCAATGTTATACTTTTGGTTGTTCAGTATGATTAATAAAATTATTCCTCTCAATGTTTTTTATATTTAAGGGGCACACCTAGTGTGAGTGACTGAAAAAAACGTCGATTTTTAGAAATTTTTTTCAGGGAAATTATTGCATCTAATTTTTTTTAAAGTTTTGTACATGTATATTTGTATAAATAGTGAACATTTTGTAATTTTTGCAAAGAAAAATATCTTTTTTTAAAGAGTTATTCGCTATATAAAAAAAAACCAGTTTCTCCACTGCTGCAGTTATTGCGGCCTTCTGAGTGACTGAAATCAAAAGAACCAAAAAGACTATTAAACTAGAAGATATTTGCCATACTATGAGGCTCCAGTTTTTTTTTGGATGAAAAATAAAATTTTGGGATGCCAAAAACTATCGGATTTTTTAGGCGAAATTTATAAGCTTTTTTCAAAACTCCGCCATTTTGTTGCAATTCAATATTTTTTTTCGTCCGAGAGTCATAGTATGGCAAATATCTTCTAGTTTAATAATCTTTTTGGTTTTTTTGATTTAGGTCACTGAGAAGGCCGCAATCACTGCAGCAGTGGGAGAACTTTTTTTCGGATACTCAGGAGATAGCGAATAACTTTTTTAAAAAAAGATATTTTTCTTTAAAAAAATTACAAAATGTTCACTATTTATACAAATATACATGTACAAAACTTTAAAAAAAATTAGATGCAATAATTTCCCTAAAAAAAATTCCTAAAAATCACCGTTTTTCTCAGTCACTCACACTAGGTGTGCCCCTTAACTTAATTTTGTACGATATAAATACTAAAAATAACAGAAATAAACAAATTTGTTTCGAAAAACGTTAGTAAAAAAATATTTTTAAAAATTACGTAACAATGATGGAGGGGGGGGGGTTAAACGATTTTGTTACAACCTTACAACCTGTTACATGGGGGTAGGGGGGGTTCAAAATTTTACTAAAAACGTGTTGCGTAATTTATGGACGGCCCCTTATGTCACATGAGAATTCGGGTAAATGTGTATTAATACCATTTAAATATATTCTTATGAATGAAAATTATGGCAAATATAATTTAGAAAAATGAAATTTATATAAGGGAGCGTTCACAAATGATGTCACGCAATTTTTCGAGCAAAATTGAATGTCGAATATTCGACATTCGAACTAAACTGACTCAATTGTCGGTTATTTCGACATTCGAACTAGGCGATTGAAATGTCGAATTTTAGAATTCGACATTTTAGCGCTCCAAAACCGAACAAAACTCGGATCGGTTCGAATTTCGTATAGTAATTCGAATATTACATTATAATATATATATAATTGGGCCAATTCGAATGTCGAATTTTCGACATTCGAACTATCCGAAAAAATTCGAACACTTCGGTTCGAATTATTTTGCACAGCACTAATAAAGAATAATTCGAATAATTAAAAATTATGTTCCATTGAACATAATTTCAAAATATGAAAATTATGTGAAATGACATTTCGATAATAAGAATTTCGATGTTTTGAAAATTATGAAATTGAATTTTGGGGAATAATCATGTGCCCCAAAGATTATATTTTATTACATATAAATCGTAAAAAGCTGACTTAGAACAGCGGTTATAAAATACAAGAGTAAATTCAATAATAAATAAAAAGTGTAAATTAAATTTTTTAAATATTTAAAATTGTTTTTCTACTACATAGAAAAAACTAGTTATTATTTTAAAATAATTTGTCATATCTAAAAATATAATTTTTCAATATTCAATTCGAAATTGAAATAAATATTCAAATATGAATTTGTAATTCAAAAATTTTTTCTTTACTTTCTTTTATTTTAACGTACGACTTTTTTATTTGCTTATAAATTTAAATTTGTCCATTTACTTTTCAGTTTATATGAAAATCGTCAAATTTATTATAATAAATATTTTTTTTTCAACTGGAATTTTTGTTTGCCAAATAACACATTGTATTTTCCGATATGTATATGCTTGCATAGCAGCCAAAAAATCCTCTATTCGAGGCGAATTTCAAATTGTATATTTTATTCTTATTGTTAGAAATTTTCTGAACGACACTAACATGGAAAAATGTTTTCCACTTTTTTCTTTTTTCCCTTATCTCTTGTAGAGAGAGAATTCTTTTTTCTTCTGGTTCTAATACTATACTTGATCACAGGAGTCAGAGAACTTAAAGAGCTTGAATGATTGACAACCTAATTTAAACTCGTAAATGGCAGGAAATTGCTTCACTTAGCTTTCACGACGTACACATGAACCACCTTTTATTTTGCATCAAAGAAACCCTCTCTCTTTCTCTCTTGCTCTTGACATTTAAAGTTTTTCTGAAAAAGCTTTGTAAAGTAGAATTACATTTTACAAAATCCTATAGAAAAGGAAGAATTTTTTTCTCCCCATTTATCTCACATATTAGCCAAATATTGTTTTAAAGTAAGATTTTGTTTGTTTCTTTTTTAGTAAAAAACAGTTTATTTTCTGTTGAGAAGTCCAATTACTTTTTCTCTAGTTAAGTGTATACGGTTGTTAATTTTTGCGCATGAATTCCTTTTTTCTGCAGTTGGACAAGAGCCAATAAAATTTTCTCTAAAATATTTTCCATTGTTTACTATGAAATTCTTTTTTCAGTTTTGAAATAAAGTATGTTTTCTAATGGCGCATTGCATTCTAGAACAGCATTCAAGGAAAAGGAAAATAAGTGCTCTTGAATTGTGATTCTGAAATCCCAATAAATACACCATTTGAGCCATTTGAGCTATAGCGCTATAGAGAAAAGTCTATTGACTGTTGGCTGCACCTGAAGCCAAGGTCTTTGAATTAAACTTCATTCTTAATAGAGACTCTCTTTCTCTATTAGCTATTTCACTAACTCAAACTTAAAAAAACTAGTTTAAAAGAAAAAAAATCATTTTAATTAGGCATTTGTCGATTAGTTTTCTCGATTTAAAGAACTTTGTGTTGCGAATTAAAAAAATCCACAATTTTTTAATGTTCAAACGCGTTCAAATGATAACTTGTAAATATTGCAATAAAAATTAAAAACTTAAAATTTATATTATTTAGAAACTTTATAATAAAGTTTTTCTACAGAAACGCAAAGTTATATATTGTAATAAAAATTAAAAATTTCGTTTCTTTGAACGTTCAGAATTACGAATAAAATGTCAAACAGTATTATAGCTTTGTAAAATTGCAAGGAAATTCTTGTTGTTAATAGTTGCAGTAAAATTGTTATTGTTTTAATTAATGGCTACAGTTGAATGGATTTTGAAACCAATTTTGAAATACTGTTATCATCATTGATGCTTAAAAAGTTCATTAGAATTTTATTGTCACACCAATATTTCAAATGGGTAGTTGCGCATTGAAAATAATAATAGAACTTTTTATTGATTCAAATAATAATCGATCAATATCAAAATATTCATTTGTATAAAATAATTATTTATTTCTAACAGTTAGTTAAATATATTTAGATTAAATAAAGTTTTCTTTAATTATCCACAGAAATAAAGTACACTTTTTTCAAAAAATTATTTTTTAAGTAAAATTGCAATTTTTAATAAATTGTATCTTTACATGTTTTCTTTTTTGTTATTTGCATACCACGATCTTTACATTTTAATTAAACTTTATGTAATTTTTTCAAATGAAGAGATAAACTTAAAGAAAACATTACTTATGAAGACCACAAACTTTGGCTCAAGTGGATTGTTTTTAGAATGAAGCATACAAGGAAAATATTAGTTTTATGTGCAGTTAAGTATAAAAGAATATAACGCTTAAATTTAAAGCAGGGGAGTTCACTCTCCTAATGCAATTCATTTTCATTTTATCTATCAACTTAATGATCGTAATTTAGAATTTAAAAATATTTGTTCTTTCATAGTTTACATGAAATAAACTTTTAATTTTTACATTAAAAACAATAATTGAAACATTCATATTTAATTCCAAGTGTGAATATAAAATTCACTAACTTTAATAAATAATTAATGAAAACGATTTTAATTGAACTTTCAACATAACTTTTCAAGTGAAATTAGCGAAGTGTCTTTTTTAATTAATTATTTTGTTACTGTTTTCACCGATTCTTAATTGGTTGATCTGATTTTAATGGTCCTTTTGTTTTTGCAGATTACTCTTGTTATAAAGCAGTCCGTCGAGAGGGAAAAAGTTAATTGAATGTAAAAGCGAATGAAATCATTTTTACGAAGAGAATAAATTCGACATTTCTAGTTATTCACTTTTGACGTGATTTTTTTTATATAAAAAGTTTGAAATTTCCAAATATAGTCGAACCTTTATTTACTTGCAATATTACAAATTGATTTCTATTACTGCATTGTACTAATTTTCTAAATACTGGAAATTAATTTGAAAGTGTCAACATATAAACTCGTAAATTTAATTTGATGGGAAAATCTTTTACAACTTGTCTTAGTTTTGGGCCTGTCCAGCGGCCCAATGATTACAAAGTTGAATTTATTACAGTAACGAAGATTGGTAATATTATGTAAAAGCAACATGAATATCCTACTTGAAGAATTTTCTCCCTTCTCTACCCTTTTGTTCCTATCGAAACACTCTTCTTTTTCAGCTTAAGAGTTGAGCAAAACTTGAATGTAAATTTCAGGAAAAGTACATCGTCAATGTGTTTAATTGAAAAACAAGTTGTCGCAGAAATCTTTTGTAAAACGCACGAGTACCAGGAAACAAAAGATGAGAGTGTGGAAAACTATTGAGAAGAGGCCAGCCAACCACACAGAGGAAACAGAGGCGCGAATGGCACTCAAAAGTGCCATTGTTTGGCCCTGAAAGCAACTTTCTCCCTGATATGAAAAAAGCAAAAAAAGCAAAAAAAGAAAGAAACGTGACGAAGAGAACTTACCATAATCGTCTGTCAGCGGGTCGCGCATATCAAAGTCCTCGCGAGGATCGCAATTTCGCTTGTCTAGCCTCCCGGGCACGAGTTGCACGTTGTGAAAATCGTAGCTCAGTAATCTTGGAAATAAAAACCACTACCACCACCACCCCACATTCACCGCCGCTGCCTTCGTCTCCAACCAGCATGCGGCTTTCAATGCTGCACAACAAGAATTCCGCAGCTTCTTACTTCCGGTTCAAAAAAAATCAGTGGCACACTGCTGTCAACAATGTTTGACATTTTTGTGTCGAGTGCAAACACCAGAGCTTGAAGCTGGTGTGCGCCTGACAGCCGACGCGCGAATGCACGCGTGCAAGGCGAATTGTGTGGTCTCTCTGCTCGCAAGTGGAGGTGAAAGCTCGGGGCTTGGCCGCTGGGCGTCCCGACGCCTCGATGCATCGATCGGCGTCTCTCTCTCACTCGCTCCAGTTTCACGTCGGGATGCGGAACGTCGCCCCTAGGTAGGCGCCTTGAAGGTGGAGTCCCGCAAAACCATTCACTCTTTCTTCGGGAGATTGCGGGAGATAAAAAAGATCGGGAGCGAAAAGACTCTTCAGACGTTGGAGGGAGGGAAATTCGCTGACAGACTCCAACAACTGCAAGCTACAAATTCGGCTAGATTCCTTGTATGGGTAAAACACGCTTAAACACGCAGACCCAAAGACAGAATTAGCCAGCCGACTCTGATCGATACGAGGCAATTTTTCATAGAGGAGGCGGAGAACTCGAAAATAAGGTCAAAAGAAAATTCCGAGGCCCATGACCGTCCAAAAGCAACTCCAAATTCTGGTGGAGCTGTATCCGCTTTTGCTAATTAAAGGGCGTTTGACCCCATCGCGTAATCTCACTCAATCCTGAAAGAATCAATAATCCTTAAAAAAAACTCCAAACTTTTTTTTCATTGCCTCTTTATGATGTGGAACTAAGTCACTGAAAAAGATGAGATACTTGTAACATAACTTAGTTACTATAGATATAGAAATTTTCGTTACTTTTTTGCTCAGAAGATGTAAATTAGAATATAATTTTGAAAATCAATTAATTAAAATTAGTAAACAATATTGCAGTTAAACAGTTTTAACTGTAACTTACCAATTTTTTATTTAATTTAAAATTAAATTGTAATTTTGCTATGCCAACTTTAAAAAGGAGAACCCAATCCCAGAATATTAGTCTCTTTTTAAATTCTTATGTTAAACATAAGAATACAAAAAATCAATAATTGCAGTTTTATGCTATGTTTAACATAAGAACATAAAAACAGCATAAATATAAAGCATAAGTGTGATTTGTCATTACTTATTGTCATAATAATAATAATTTAGCATAATATTATCACATCAGTCATGATGCTTACATACGTATGCTTTATTGCAATCGTTGTAACATTAATGTGGCGTAATTATTATAATTATGTAGCCTTATCATCATTTGACAAACTGATTTTTTATTATAAGAACAGTTTAACATAATTACTGTTTGTTTAAATATTTATTAGAGTTCACTATTAGTATACTTTGCTTTTGACATACTATTTATTTACCATTATTTGAATTTAACATACATAATAATAAACTAATATAACTGAGCTCCCGCGGGCAATAACTCGATCTGCGCTCGGACGCAAGCGCTAGTACCAGTTGGGGACTGGTATTAGAGAGTGCGTCCGAGCGCAGATCGAGTTATTGCCCGCGGGAGCTCAACTGTTTTGGATATAGTGTAAATATAGCAATAATTATTACCCACATAGCACGATATTTTACTGTGAGGATACTGTAGGTTTATTCATATGCTTTGTAAGCTTACATCGTAAGGTTACTATGTGAGCTTACAATGACCTTACCTTGTAAGCTTACAGTGACTCTACCATGTAAACTTACTTATTTGACCTAAATATTTTATTTTATCGCATCAAATAACTATTTATTTGAATCAAATACAAATTATTCAAATCAAATAAATGGAATATTTCAAACTAATAAACAATTATTTGAATCAATTATATAAATTATTCAACTCAAATAAATATTTACTAAACCTAAGTATTTCGTTTTATCGTATCAAATAAATAGTTATTTGTATCAAATACAAATTATTCAAATCAAATAAATATAATATTTCAAGCTAGTAAATAATTATTTGAATCAATTATAAAAATTATTTCATTCTATATTTAATACAAAAATTTTTTTTTTAAGTATTTAGTTTTTTTTTAATTTATTAATTTATTATTATATTATATTTATATATTATATTTATTAACTGATATTTTAACAGACTTTTAATATTATTTACAAACAAGTTCACACAGTTTTTATTCACAACACAACACACAATTTTATTATTTTATATAACGCTTAAAACGAAGAATGAAAAATATTCGCTCGCATGTGGGATCGAACTCACGTCCCCCCGCCCCTAACGCACCTATTTAAACCGCACGGCCACTGAGACTTGGTGAGAATTCGGGCTAATCTACTATATCAATGTCAGTGCCGTATATTCTGTATCCAAATAACACATTTATTTGTCGAAAATTTTTTTATTTGTATTAAATAAATGAAATATTTAAGTGAAATAAATAAATGAACAGTTTCAAGTAATTCATTATTTTCGTTTCAAATAATTATTTAATTGATTGAAATATTTTTTTATTTGTCTTGATAAAATAGTGTATTAGCTTTGAATAACGAATTATTCGGATTAAATAATTAAGTTTATTAGAATCAATAAAATAAATTTATTGTGTCAAATAATTTTTATTTGCATCAAATATACGAAGTATTTGAGTGAAATAAATAAAAGAATAGTTTCAACTAACTCATTATTTGTATTAAACAAATTCATTTATTTAATTCAATTTATTATTTAATTGAATCAAATACGATTTATTTGGTTCAAATAAGTGTGATTCAAATAATTCAAGTTATTTGAATCAAATACATATTTTTTTGATCCAACTAAAAAGTATTTGAATCAATTAAATATTTTTCAAATAATTTGAATTATTTGAATCAAATAAATTTTTTTTTCAGTGTATTCATCCTACGAGAAAAAGTCAAAGAGAAAAAAGATGCGCCATTCAATTTCCTATAAGCCCAGGCAGAAAAGTTGGAGGTGTGCCAGCACTAACGACCGGCATGGTACCGAACCGGTTGTAAAGTCGGACTTATGCCGGTACCGGCAAAAAGGTACCGGGCCGGATATGAAATAAATACCGGCCCAGTACCGGCCCGGTGGTAAATGTGGATTTGTACCGGTACTGGTAGTGTGTACCGGGCCGGTTGATTAAAAATATCTGGCCCAGCACCGGCCTGGTACTGTTATTTGGCTCCGTTTTATACCGCCGAAGGAGATTTGCCGGTTATAATATTTTTACCGTCCCAGCACCAGCGTAGCACCGGGCCGGTGCTGTCATTTCGAACTGTTTTATACCGCCGAAGGAGATTTGCGGGTAATAATATTTTTACCGGCCCGGTACTGTCATTTCGCTCTGTTTTATACTGCCGAAGGAGATTTGCCGGTGATAATATTTTTACCGTCTTAGCACCGGCCCGGTACTACCATTTGGTTTTGTTATTATACCGATGAAGGGGATTTGCCGGTGATATAATATTTGTACCGTCCCAGCGCCGGCCCGGTACTACCATTTGGTTTTGTTTTTATACGGACGAAGGAGATATTGAGCACCTGGATCGTAGAAGGGCAAGTAAATTTTTCTCGGCCGAAATCGAAATCCCCTGAACACTCAAAATTCAACTTCTGAATTTAGACATTTTAAATACACATCCTTATAGGAAATTTCATTGCGCATCTTTTTTTCTTATGAATTTTTTTGTATCTATTACCCATCCCGGTCGTCAATTTCTACCTGGGTGATTACGAATCTTGCATCAGATTTTGAAAATACAATGTGACGTTTCCAATATGGCAGACGCCATTTTGAGAAATTTATCAAATGTCGGTTTTCAAAATGGAGGATTCAATATGATAACCAGTAATTTTTAAAGTTAACTAGATTTGTCTGAATTTTGTTTATCAAAAGTTTTTGTGTTTCCTGTTCTGATTTTGATCTCAAATTTATAAAATTTTAACAAACGGTTTAAATATGGGGAAAGATATTTTGAAAATTGATTATATGTGTATGAAATTTGTTACTCGAAATAGTTTGTCATTTATTTTGAAGCAATTTTAAATTTTATGACATTTTTTGGAAAAATTATCCACCATTTTGGATCCGACAGTAGATATACAGGGAGAGTTCTAACCCACTAAAATTGAACTGCGCATGCGCATACCTGAGTTTTGGCGCGAAAATTTAAATTTTGAATCTAAGTATATACGCTATTTGGATATGTGTGAACATGATCATTTGGTATGAGATTTTTGATGCACTTTGATCAGCATGTGATAAGAGGTAAGTATTGTGATGCTAAGGCGGATATCACATCACAAGGGGGGGTAATATTCAGACCATGATTCTGAGGCGGATATGACATCATGGGTGAGGGTGCGATTCTGAGGCGGATATGATATCACGGGGAGGTCACGATTCTGATGCGGATATGACATCATGAGTGAGGGTGCGATTCTGAGGCGGATATGACATCACGGGGAGGATACGATTCTGAGGCGGATATGGTATCACGGGGGGGGGGGGGTCAGACCATGATTCTGAGGTGGATATGACATCACGGGGGGCACGATGCTGAGCCGGAAATGACGTCATACTTCCTAGAATTTTGACATGTGTAATTTGATATATTCTTATCTAAGGAATTTTTACCATCTACTTGTTGTTTATAATATCTTTGATTTATTGCTTCCGGTTTGTGATTTATCTAAAGAATTTTTCCCACGAGTAATTTGATACCTATTTATTTCCTGGAATTATAGTCTTTATTTAAGCTATTGTTTTACATGTAATTTGATATCTTTGATTTATTGCTTTCGGTCTGTTTTATTATACAGTTCATTTATTTTGTTTTGACTAAGTTTTATCTAAGGAATTTTTACAAACATTTTCGGTACTTTTCATAAGAATGCTTTTGATCTTACCGCAATTCCACGAAATCTATAATTAACTTCAAGGTCAAATAGGTCATATCTTGTGTATATAAAGAGGGCAATTTTTCTGAACGAAATCATTCCTGCAGTTTAAGTTGGCTGATGAACATATTATTAGCAAAGCATAGTGAAATTCAAGTGCGCTTAAACATCTTACTGTAAGAAATTGCTAACGTTAAAAGTTCAACTATAGTCTGATCGGAGTTAATCATTTTAGCAAAGAACTAATCGTTTCAATTCAAGTGATAAAAATGAATTTAGAA